GTCCTCTTCACTTTCAACAAGCAAGGCTGTGTCATCCACATAACAAAGACTGTTCTTCCGATCCTGATGCCACATTTTTCTTCAGAGTCCAGCTTCTCAAATAATTTTCTCAGTATATAGATTAAATAGGTATGGAGAAAGGATTCAACCCTGATGTACACCTTTCCAAATTTTACACCATCTAGTGTTCCCTTGTGGTTTGCAGAACAGCCTCTTGGTCTAGGAATAGGTGTTGCACAAGCACAAATACGTGTTCTGAAATTCCCATTCTTCTCAATGGGAATGAGTATGTCCCATTAGTATCTTATAAACCAGCATCTGAGATACCCACAAGACAAATGCACTCACAGAACACTGCCTCCCAGCTCTCATCCCCTAGAACAGAACAACTCAAGCACCACTTCCTCCCCGAGCTTCCACGTCCATCTTCCCCTTCATAGAAGGTATCATGCTGACCACAGTGAACACTTCTAATGCTTATTTCTCTTTTAACTATAACTCACTAGATAATAGAACCACAGACCTCACTCACTAAGCTGTGAGCTACATAAAGAGAAATATTTTCACAAATCGGAAACTGTTAAATGATCAGTGAATAAATATAACGGTAACACTTTCTACATCTCCTTTTATGCTATTGTAGTTGACACTTTTAGCTGCCTACCCAGCAAGTCATACCTCCTCTCTTGTGATCATGCACTTAATTCTGCAAAGTAACAATGTGTGCAGTAGGGGATGAATCGTGACTGGTCTAAATCCTCCTTCCCCAGACTCCTCTGCAGGCAAAAGCAGCCGTATCACTACGTTCTGATTCATGCAATCAAAGGGAAGGTCTGTTAGAGGGTGAGAGTCTGTAAAGATTTCATTCCTAGTTAAAAAGGAAACTGGCAGGGGCAGATCATTCTTAAAGCTTTGACTGCTGCTTCAAGGGATGTGGTTATTAGACCTGTCCCTGTTTTATGATGAGCGAATGGCACGAGAGCTGGAAAGATGTCAGGATTCAACCTGACGATGTGGAAATGTTGAGCCAATGTAAGAAACGCCTACCCTCAAACTCTGAGGTATGTGAGATAATGAAACTTCTCTATTACTTAAGTTCCAACTCACTCATTGCTGTCAAGTCAGAACTGACTCCCCAGCAGCGTAGCTGGCATGTTCTGAGTGCCAAGGAGGGAGCTTTTGGGTTAGTACTGAAACTGCCCACGACAACAGAGTTCTCTCCTCTTGTTTAAGCTCCTCTTCATGAAACAGTTACTGACACACACACGGAACACCAACCAAAACTCAAGGCCACTGCCAGAGATGATTCTGACTCAAAATAACCTCACAGGAACAAAACAGAATTTCCCCACAGAGTTCCCACAGTTGTTAAGTCTTCTGGAAGCAGACTGGCTCATCTCTCCTGTTTGAATTTGAGCCACTGATCTTTTAGTTAGGAGCCCAGCACTTAATCCACTGCACCATGAGAGGTCCCTCACATCTAACATGTTGGGCTCTAAGTACCTGGTACGTCACCTTGGATCAGACGTGGATCTTTTGTTGGCAGTGACTGGTCTTCTGCCTTTCTATTCTAGAACCAGTGTGTGACTTGATGATACAGAGAACACTCAGAATTGCAGATGCCATGCTCTGAAATGGCACAAAGCTTGACACTCATCACAAGGTCACATCTCCTGAACTAAGAGGACAAAAGGCTTTGTGCAAGCATCTGACTGAACCAAACGACACCATTAAGGCGAGGACGGAAGATCCTGTTAAGGAGTGTAGATCTGGCTTCAGAAACAGTTAAGTGTTGCTGATGCCACCTAGACACTAAAGCAATCGCTCTGTCTTTAGGAGACTGCGGCTGCTATTACTTCCCTATCACGTGCGAGTTTTTCTCAGGCTGAGTGCTCATCCACTGTCCCTACTTACTATTTAATAGTATTAAGAAAAGGTCTTTGTACAGTTTCAATATTCTCTTATACTGCACTTTGTGCAGAGTTTGACCTACTTAGTCTCCTCTTCGGGCATGCTGCTAGGGGAGGCTATTCCTTAGAAAGGGTTACCATGCTTGGAATGGTGGAGGGTCAACAAAAGATAGGAAGACCCTTGATGAGATGGACAGATACAGTGACTGCAACAAAGGGCTGGAGTCCGTCAGAGATGACGAGGACGGCACCGGAGAGGACAGGGTTTGGAGTCGTTGTCCAGGCGGGACACTGTGAGTAATACTTGACTTGACAGCACCTTCTACATAACAAGTCTCAGGGACAAGAACTCACAGGCAAAATTTTTCTCACGCCCCACAGAGTGTGAGACTTATAAACAGGCAACCAAAAAATACTCAACCTAGGAGTTACCCAGTTTGTTTTATTTTTACAAAATGCTAAGTATGACTTCAAGTGCTTTGTCTCTCCCAGTGCTGGGAGCTGCAGGGACATCCTCGGGCCTCCCCCTTACTTCTCCCAAATCACCTGCTCCGAAGAAGGGTGTCTCAGATCCTTCTAGCACGGCACCCTGCTCCCTAAGCGCCCAAAGGCCTCCCAGGAAAGGCTGCTTCTCCTCACCTGGGTGGGAGCTGTTTCTGTTATCTCAGCAGCAAATGCCCCATGAGTAGTTCTTAGACCCTTCCTTCATATATTAAGAAACTCCTAAAATACTGTTTTCTCATTTTCTATATGGCATTCAAAGTCCATCTTTTAGCCTTCCTGAGACAACAGCCACCAAAGCTCCTGATCTCTAGACCTTAGTTCGCTGAGTTCTTCCACTGCTAATCTGAACACGCTACCCACCAGGCTCCTAATCACAACCGACCTCGAAGGTTTAACCCAACATTTACTTCTCTTTCTCAAACAACTCTTCATGGTATTTGATTCTGATCCCCTCTTTCCGCTTGCATGATGCTGTAGGGAGGCATGTTGAAGCCCACTGGAGGAACCAAAGAGACAGGCTTCTGTTTATGATACAGTGGATAGCTGCACATGAAAATGGTTTCTGATGACTAAATCAAATGAAGAGATATTTTCTTGTGTATCTAGTCCCTGGAAGAAACCCTGCTGGCATAGCTGCTGACAGGCTCAGCTGTGGTGTGAACCCGTCAGTCCCATCATGGAAGACAGACACAGCAGTCAGCTACTGTACAAGCTGTGGCCCAGAAACCCTGCAGCACCGCTGTACTATCCTGTGGGGTTGCTGTGAGTCAGAAACAACTCAGCGGCAACAGGTTAGGGTCTGTGATCTTACAGATAACCAGACGGCACGAGAAGAGCGCTGGCAGTGTAGCTGGCAGGGAGGCGTGCTGCTGACTCTAAGGTGACACTTCTCTGAGGCTTACGGGCACTGGGGGCTTCTCGGGAGGAAGACGGGCAATCTCTTCCCGTATTCATGGGCTCCTAAACCTCGCTGGGAGCTGGACCTCGAATAAGGATGACAGAAGAATTACCCTTTCAACGGTGGTATTAGAGAAGAGGACTGACTACCCTACGGACTGCCAAAAGAACACACAGCTATGTGCTGGACAAGGTGCAGCCAGAGTGCTCCCGGGAGGCAGAGATGATAAAGCTGTTTCACAAACATCGGGCACATTGCTAGGAGAGGCTATTCCTAGGATATCATGATTGGAAGGGTGGAGGGTCAGCGAAAGAGAGGGAGACCCCTATTGAGGTGGATTGACATAGTGAATGTAGCAATGGGCTCAGGTTTATCAGAGACAGTGAGGATGACACAGGATAGGAGAGGACTCAGGTCTGCTGTTCAAAGGGTCGCCATGCGTTCTCTCAACTTGACTGTGCCTAACAACAACAACAACAGCCCCTGCTGGAGGGTGAGCTATGACGTGACAGCAATAAGAGAGACAGATAGCACAAGAGCTCTGGTGGAGCAGTCTGTAGGGAGCTGAGCTGATAAGCCAAAGACTGAGTCTCTGACAGATCGAATTTACTAAGAGACACTGCTGGGCAAAAAACCCCGGCAATCTCCTCTTGTGTGACTTACAGCTTTCAAAAACCCACTGGAGGGTGAGCTGTGAGCTGTCAACTGGACAGTCAAGAGAGGTAGCACAAGTATTGTGTGATTGTCAACCTAAAGGTGGACAATACAAACCCATATGGAGCTGCACCAGAAAAAGGCCTGACGGTTAGCTCCATGAAGGTTACAACCCAGAAAACTCTGCGGGACAATTCTGCTCTCTGGCAGTGACTTGATGAGTGGAGGCTTTTTTTGGGGGGGGAGGGGCAGTAAATAGTAATAATAGATTTATCAGCAAGCTACATCCCAAAGGGACGGACCTCCCTCCCTGAAAGGAGATCTGGAGGGAAGGCCATGTGCTACTGAGGTGAGTTGACAGTAGGTTTCGTTTTGCTTGTTTGTTTTTATGCCACTACTTAGCAAAGACAAAGGCCCCCGAACAGAACCTTAGATTGTAGAAACATGAACATCAAAGAAAATGTGAGGCATTCTTAGTACATTTAGATGTGTGAGAATAATTTCTCAGGGACATTGAAGATCAGTGTCCCAAGGTACAGCTGGTTAAAGCGCAGGAGAGGGAGGGGAGCGAGCTGTCAGACACTGTCACGTCTCAGGGGAAATCTAGGCGGGCATGCCAAAGGACATACCTGAGCGCCACGGCCACATATGAAAGCATCTTCCTATGTGCAAGACTGCTTTACACACTGGAAGGCAAGGTGGAGCATAAAGAAAGGAATTATGCTGAGAAAACGAATCATAAATGATGGGCAAAGAGGGCTCCCTACGCGATCAAGGTCAACTGCTGACGGGTATGTTTCTCCTCTAAATGGGCGGTTTTCAGAGCTTCCCTCATCCTCTGGAACAACAGAATAACAACGAAATGTTCTCATCTTCCCTAAGTGAAGTCCCTCTGCACTTATTACACAGGCGTCATAACAATAGAAAGAACGAGGCACAGTTCGGGGGTCTCGTAAGCAGAAATAGCACCTCATGTTTGCCACAACAGTCTATACCGTCTACACTCTGGCAACTGTAAAAGCAAATTTCTTTACCTTTGAAGTCTTGTCTTGACTGCCATCATCAACTACGATCACTTCGTAAGTGAACGTACTATCTTGTTTCTGCAAGAAACAAAAAAGGAAATGTCACAATTGAGCATAATTGCTATAAAAATATTAATAAAATTTTAAAACCCATTATTTTAGATTTGATGTGTATTAAGTGGAAGTGTAAACACAAGCTTAAAATAAAATTCTAATAGTCAAAAGGAAGAGACGCCCTGGGCTTAGAAGAGTAAATGCTGAACAGCTCTGTGTGCGCCCAGCTCGTCCCCTCGCTGCCCCTGCACCAAAGGCAGCAGGCCCTGGGAGGTGAAGGCGTATTTGAGCAAGGTATGAAGTCTGGATATAAAGTCCTTATGAACATATGACATATTGATTTTTTGGGGGGCTGTTTTCTCATATTTCAAAAAGAGGATATAAAACCTAGTTCCTGGGATTGGTTTGACGATTATATGTAATAGAAAAAGTACATAAACTACAAAGGGCTCAATTCTCTTCTTTGAATTTTATTTTGGACAAATAAAATATGCCAATATTTCAATGAGTCTTTCATCCTTCCTTCACATAACAGACACAATATTAAATCAAGCCAAGACATTTCTAAAAGGAACCAGTCCCAGAGCTTACTTCACTGTTGCATTTCCCAAGGAGATTCTAGTAGCAGCTGATGCTACAAAACAACAAAATGGACTACTTCCCATAAAAAATAAGGGAACTCTGCTGGCCTAGTGGCAAGAAGCTGCACTGAAATCCCAGAGGTATGTGGTTCAAATCCACCATATGCTCTGCAGGAAAAGGAGGGACAATCTTCTCGTGTACCAGTCAGGTCTGATTGGACAGTACACAAACACAAAATAATAAAACAGAAAAAAAAAACACCACAACAAACCCCCAAAAGCATAACCGTGGAGGGAATTCCCAAGAAGAAAAAAATCCCACAAAATAATTTCTCTCTAACGTCTTTTAATAATAGATCCCTTTCTTCAAAGTCACAAATGTAAAAAACAGCAGTATGTAGCCATAAAGTCTGCAGATAAAGCTCCTTTTAATAATAGATCCCTTTCTTCAAAGTCACAAATGTAAAAAACAGCATTATGTAGCCATAAAGTCTGCAGATAAAGCTCTCAGGTATACATATGTCAAATTTGCTGGTTTTGAGTACCGTTGAATCAGAGCCAACCCAGAGCTGACCCTCCAGCGGTTTTTCAGAACAGTTATTTGCATGAGGGGCGATTTCCCATCCTCCTCCCACAATGTCAATTATACACGGTATACATGTGCCAGATCTGAAGATTGGGCAATGAATACAGATGACAGCAGAAAGAACCAATGCCTCTGAAATGTGGTGCTGCAGAAGAGTACTGAGTATCCTATGGACTGCCAAAAGAACAAGTTTGCCTTGGAGAAAAAGCAACCAAGGTACTTCTCAGAGGCAAGGATAGTGAAACTTCAGCTCATAGCCCCTGGGCTTGATGTCAGAAGTCAGTCCTTAGAGATTTCATACTGGGAAGGTGACAGGTCGGAGGGAGATAAGAGGAAGACCCTCTATGAGATGGTCTGACACCGTGACTATTACATAGGCTTTAGCCCATCAGAGATGGTGAGGATAGATCAAAGTTCAGATCAGTTGTTCACAGGTTCACTGTGAATTGTAATAGACTTGATGGTATCTAACAACAATAATATATACCATCAGATATATACCATCAGACAAATGAGAATAAAAATAATGTGTGGGGGTTCGTAAGAGAAGCTTCACTTTCTGTTGTGTCCTGGAGGTCCCAGGATGCTACCTACCTTTGGCTGTAGGGTGCTAAAGGCTGATGGCCAGTTACAAACGAACAGGCTGGGGCTCAGCAATCAGGGTCACCCAGGGCTGCTGCTGCCTCTCACTGGGTCTAGCCTGGGTGACCTGGTCTAATTTTCATTGGAGACATCAGATTGAAAGAGAGAACATGGTACCTGTCTCTTCTCTAGATAGCTCAGAGCTTCATCCATCATCACAGGCACTGAAAGGAGAAACAAAAAACATTAAAATTCACTTTGGAAACATGAATCGAATCACCAAGTTCCCGTGCATCTACGTATGGAGAGCCTGACGAATCATTTAACCAGTCCCTCTAGGAGAGAGATCTAGTGGCAGAGTCTGCGGGGTGTTGTACTGCTAAAACAAAGGTGGCATCTCTTTGGTGGTTCGAATCCACAAGCAGCTCAGTGAGAGAATGATGAGTAATCTCCTCTTGTGCAACCTACTGGGGGATGGTCAACTATGAATCAGCTGCAGCTCGACGGCCCTAAGTTTGAGTTTCTGTGGTGGAGTCTCTCTAGGCTCTGCCCCCGTGACCTTTCCATTAGAGTGTCTTCCTTCCCATCTCATTCACATTCTACATTTTCAATCCTACCTCCTCATACTCCCGATTCGTTTCATTACAGGGAATAATCACATTCCTGTCTTCTGAAATACAATTATCAAGGAAGCCACTCACCGCAGCCCACGTCTACTAGTGTTCACACAAAGGTAGGGGTTGTTTAATACTTTAAATTTTCTTTTTTTTTCCTAAGTTACTTCTTACCAAAAAACCCCTAAATAGTGCTTACACCGTTTTTCTTCATTGTATGAAGGCACGACAACAGAAAGCTGTTTAGTAGGTGGGTCCCAAATGCTGGGGAGAGTTTCTTTTTGGCCTTTGTCATTTAGGAAGAATTTCTCATCATCATGTCGATGAAGGTGTGGTGTCTTCATAGCAGTTATAAATGCAACAAAGGAAACCTAGAAGCAGAAATGCAAAGAAGAAATTACGTTCTGCTGACACTTCATTTACATGTTTTTTTTTTTCAGAATATGTAATTTACATAATTTTTTGGGGGGGTGCTGTTTAAAATACTCACTCTCTGGAGTCCCTGGCTAGAGTCTGGGGTCCACTCAAAGACATTTTGGAAAAAAAGGCCTATCAACTCTTGAAAAGTCAGGTACTGCAAAGTGGTGCACAAAGTTCAACCCCTATATACTGGATCACCACGAGTCAGGAACAACTCAACGACAACTAGTTTTTATATGCAATTCTTCGTTTTTAGTTCCTTTAAAAGGCAGTCACTGTCCTGTTTATGAACTGATGACTGTCATTTTGACCAGCTGTTGATGGCGTAGTGCTAATCAGCAAAAGGTCAGGGACCGAGTAGTTTGGACCTAATAGCAGGAACAAGGGAGAAAGACGGTCAGTCTCTTCCCCTGAGGTTTGTAACCTGGGAAACCCAAGTGAAGCTCAGCTATGAATTAGTTCCCACTTGACAGCAAGACCTGAGTTGCTGTGACATTTATGCTTTAGAATCTTTGTGTCTTCTGTCAATTCCCAAGCTTCTCAGTTACTGCTGATCGAAAAACCATTCTTCACACCCATGTTTATCACGGCTTTGTTTGCAAGAGCAAAGAACTGGAAACAACCCAAGTGCCTATCAACAAACGAATGGATACAGAAGCTCTGGTATATTCACACAATGGAATACTACGCTGCATTGAAAAACAAGGAACTCATGCATTATTCAAAAT